TTGCAGCATCTACTCAGTGTTACATGGCAGATGTTCCTTTGCCACTGATCTGACTGCCTTCAGCAGCCACACCAGTATCAGTATCCCTTTTCCAGGCAGCTGGAAAAGTATAAAAATGAATAAACTCTTCTTTAGGGAAGGGGATGGTTGTAACACTTAAAAAATATGTTACAACCCACCCTACCATTATCTGTTAACGCCTTTGAAATGATCAGGGGGAAAATGCATCACAGTTTGCCTAAGAAACTACAATTTCATCTACTGTAAGTCACACTGTTTTGCAGTTTAAGCACTAAACAAAGTTTAGCACTAAACCTGCTCAAAAGATCAACTTTCTTACCTCAAAATCAGTTTTCCCCCCAATAAAACCTGCATGCAGCGGTTTCCAGCCATGACAACCACCATGCAAAAACAGGGATTGTGTCATGTGGGCAAACACTGAAATGATCGTGAGACTCCTAGCGCCTTCCTCATTGGTGACATTTGTGGTGTTGTGAGTCTCCCCTGGTGCTTTTCTACTCTGCTCGAATACTCAGAGCATTTTATACTCGAGCCTCATTCATAAAGGGTAACACCATCCAGAGTAACTACCATTAGAATCTACTGTCAGAGGCCATACGACCATTTGTAACCTTCACTTTGCACTTTCTGTACCGTGATGATCGTTACATTCTGACTGAAACTACTCAAAAGACAAAAAGGAATGAAAGGAAGGTTGGAGATTGGCCTATAATTAGCTAAGGCAGCTGGGTCTAGAGATGCTTTCTGAGTAACAGTTTAAATACTGCCACCTTAACGACTGCTGGTACATAGCCCATTAATAGAAACAGATTGATCATATTTAAGTTTAACCATTACATAGTTTTAAATGCATCACCAAAAGGCAAAGATGGTGCAGCAGCAGGGATACACCTGTCATGGGGAAGTGATGTGGCCACTCTATGTCTCAAGTCTTTTAAATTAGCTCTGCTGAGCTGGATCCTTCCAAGACCTTTGTTTTCTCTGTAGGAATACATGATGAAGGAAAAACTTCCTAATTATGTGACTCACGTCTGGAACCCATGATCACCAAATGCTGCATTTCCTCCGTTCAGAGAATCTGCCAGCCCTTTGCTGTAGCGTCCTTCAGCCATATTTTTAAATCCAGTTTTGTCTTTTTCCCCCAGCAGAGCACAAAGTGACAGACTAGCTGATACAATATCCAAATTCTTTGCCTTTAGAAACTTGTTTGCTTTCGCAGTGTATATTGTGTCTTTATACATTTGTATTATAACAGGCAGCGTGGTTTGTGAATGCGATAACTTAAGAACAAGGTGATGTAGGATTTTAAAATTCATACCACAGGTGTACCTACTTGGCATGTTAGATGAGTCAGAATCTCAGTGACCTTGGATTTAAGGTCAAGGTCAGGGGTCACGTTTTCTGAAAATCCTGTGAATGCAATAACTCAAGTAGGAAGACACCTAAGATTTTCAAATTGATACCAAACATGCATCTACTTGGAGGCTGAGGGGCGGCACTGGCAGCTGACACAAACACGTTTACAGTCATTCACTCGTCAACATCAAAGGCCGGAGACGGTGATCACATCACAGATTTATTAGCAGCTCAGAACAAACTCTATAATCTCCATCTTTGTAACTCTGGCACTAAATAAATGAAATTTAACTGAATTGAATGCAGCTGTCTGTTCAACAGACCAGACTGGTCAGTGACTCGTGTCTGCCATAGCTGGATCCTGGAGAGGATTCCAGTATTTGAGTGAAGTTGAGCCTAAAATGACCAAAAATCAAAAACTGAACTAGATGCATTTGAGGGGAGTTTTAAATGCAGGCTGCAGACAGTCTGTGCTCTGAACATTGGACTGATTCTTATACAGCGCTTTTCTACTCTCCCGGAGTGCTCAAAGCACTGTGTACATGAACATGAATGAACATGCCACATTCAGCCATTCACACCCACTCATACAAGCACTTCCTTCTATACTTAAGCATTCACACACATTCACACTCTGATGAACGCATTGGAGAGCAACTCGGGGTTAGTATCTTGTCCAAGGACACTTGACATGCAGACTGGAGGAGCCAGGGATCGAACCACCAACAGTAGCTGATCTGCTCTACCACCTGAGCTACAGCCATTTCATTTGTTCACATTAATAAAATTCAGAAAATTAACAGATTTATCAATATGACAACACTATCATTAAATTGGGGATTAGATGAATTACAATCAAGTATTTCACTTTGTGTTTGAGGCAACACAAAGACATTAGATGCTCTTAAAAACAAACAAACAATCTAATTCATGGAACGAGGTCCGAGGAATCCTAAGGATCTGAAACATCTGAGATCTTAGGGATCTTGGTCAGTCGGTGGCTGATCTCTAATCTGGATTATAACATGCTCTGAAACCAGTTAGGCATGAGTTGCCATGGTAATCTTCCCCAATAAGAAATGATCCACCTTTGTAGTTCTTAAACCACTGGGTTAGTTAGCTGCATAAGAGCAATCCAGCTTTGTAGCACAAGCCAGGTCCAGAAGATTTGACCCCACATCTTGTTTCAGTATAATGACATTGGCGAATACAATATTAGGGAAACACAAATTTAATGAAAGTTAAATAAGTGTTATGAGAGCAAGACATAGTATCTGAATGTTGTCTTTAATACTTGACATTTTAGATATTATATAGCACTCATTATGATGGCTTCACTACATGTAAATACACCATCACATGTAAAAATGTCATGTGCTGGGTTTCATGGTCAATAAAGCATCAAATCCCTCCTAGTAAGCTTCAACATTTAGCACAGACGGAGGTTGCAGAATGTTTCGTTACACATTACAACAGTCCGAGCTACAATGTGCCCTGTACATGGTTAGAGATTACAGCTGAGCACAACATCCAAACACATTTCAGTGTGCACTGAGGCGTTTGTGGCAGTCTATTTCAACGGCCAATTCCATGTAACGGCCAAAGAGGTAGCGCAGCTTCCACTGTAACACACTGACGATGATGGAGGGAAACAAAAGAGAACAGGATGAGGACAACAACAGAAATATAACCCCATCAGCACCAAGGTCATTTTAATGAAATACATAACATATGTAACCATTACGGCAATCGAATAATCTGCCAGTGATGGCTGTGATGTCATTTTAATTATAAGGAAATAATATTTCTCTTCAACAATCAGTTTAAAGCCAAGTTTAACCTCATGTTATTGCTGGGATGTGTCCATCTAAAAACAAACATCCACACAAAAAGATGACAAAGACGAGGACAGACCTGAAACAACTACTGTACCAAACACACCGACAACGATAAGACCATTACATAAACAACATGCAACATTACTGTATTCTGGCACAAAAGTCATCCAAGTGGAATCTTTATGACTTCAGGTTCATCAACACGGTTTTTCTTCTGATTGTGACAAAACTACGCAAGCTGAGAATTGTGTAAATATTCTGTGTAAAGAACGTATGTGTGGAACTGAGTTGAGATATCGTGTTTTCCAGCTTAGAGCTTTTTAGAAAACAAAAACAAAAACATGGCTTTCAGTGGTTAGTGAGCTGCTGAATATCTCAGAGTGCTAGTTAGTGTGCATGAGTTCAGTGTGTGCCAAAGACATTATTTAGGTCCTGAGTCATTCTGGAAACGTTAGTAAGACGGCAAAAAGAAATAATTAAAAACAAAATAAATCTCAGAATCAGTTTTGGGTTTGTTTTGTTTTTTAAATATACAACCAGAAATACACAGAATGGTGACTGGTGCCCCCATGACCCCAGAAATAGCCCACGATATTATTAAAAAGTTAGTTATTCATAATTTCTGTGCATTGCTGCATGAGTTGTTTCACCAGAAAGTGGAGTGCAGCCAAACTATATTTGTTATGCTCAGTGCATCCAGAAAGCATTCACAGCACTTCGCTTATTTCACATTTTTATCTTAAAGCCTTTTTTCAAAATGGATTCAATTCACTTTTCACCTTAAAAACAAAAACCCCGCCGGTTCAAGTCTGGCTCCTGGCAGGGCCACTCAGGACATGATAAGAAGCCACTGCTATCCTGGCTGTGTGCTTAGGGGGAAGATGAACCTTCGTCCCAGTCTGAGGTCGGTACAGAGTGCTCTGGAAAAGGTCATCAAGGACGTCTCTGTACATTGCTGAATTCATCTCCCTCCACCCTGACCAGTCTCCCTGTTCCTGCTGCTGAAGAACATCCCCACAGCATGGTGCTGCCACCACCCGGCTTCACTGTAGGGACCGTATTGGTCAGGTGATAAGCAGTTCCTCGTTTCCTCCAGACATGACGCTTGGCGTTCAGGCAAAAGAGTTTAATATTTGTTTCATCAGACTGGAGAATTTAATTTCTCGTGATCTGAGAGTCCCCTCAGGTTCCTTTTGGCAAACTTCAGGCAGGCTGCCACATGCCTTTTACTAAGAAGTGACTTCTGTCTGGCCTCTCTGCGTATAAATGATCAGTGCTGCAAAACAGCCAGTCCTTCTGGACCGTTCTCTCTCCAAACAGCAATGCTCCAGTTTTTTTGAGTGCAACCATCTGGTTATAATTGCTAACTAAGGCCCTTCTGCCTGATCCCTCAGATCATCTGGGGAGCTAGCTCCAAAGAGTGAGCTGGTGGTTCTAAGCTTCTTCCATTTACACATGGAGGCCACTGTGCTCACTGTGATCTTCACTGCTGTGGAAATTCTCTACCCTTCCCCAGATAGGTGCATTGATCTATGGAAGGACCAATCAAGGCCTTCTGTGTCTTGAGGTAGGTCAGGCGGTCTATTAAACCCCAGCACTTGTTCTATTTCACTTTACCAATTTCTGCACCCTCAATTTTCCAATGGGGATATACAAATGATCCATTTTGTGATAAGGCATGACAAAATATGGGACAAGTGAAGTGGATAAATCTTCAGATATCTCTACATTAGTGAGTGTGGAACTGTGTGCAAGTGAAAGAAACAAAGAAAGGTAGTGACTAACTTCTTCAGACCAGCTATGAGGTACATGCTCCGAGGCAAAAGCAAGTAGACCTGGTCTGTGAGCACAGCATGGATGATCTTCTTTGCCACATAATCAGGATTCAGGATTGGTAGCAGTTTTGGCCACCTGATGAACACAAAAAAGAGACACAAAAAAAAAAAAGCACTGAACTTAGCATTTGTCAAGTTCTCCTGCGACAATCTGGGTGGGTAATCAGATATTTGGTTGAAGGTTACAGAGGGTAGATATTTAAATGATTTGGAAAATTATTACACTTTATATAATTCAAATAATTAATGCACTACATCTGCTTACATGATGTGTATTATAACATTCATCACACCAAATATACAACATGTAGTTATAATTTTAAACAGACTATTGGAATCTGCACAAACAGGCCCCCTGAAAAGATTTTACCCTTCAATAATGCTACAAATGGCAACTCTATGAATAGTTACACCGTACTAGCACCAAGTTTGCCCCCGTTTTGCTGTCAGAAATGCCTTAATGTTTGTGCCATAGATTAAACAAGGTGATGAAAACAGTCCTCAGATTTTGGTGCACATTGACATCATGGCCTCAGCTGCTGCCGATCTGTCGGCTGCACGTGCATAATGTGAACCTACCACATCCCAAAGCTGCTTCATTGGGATGTGGCAGCTGAAGGCCACTACAGTGAACTCATTGCCATGTTGAAGAAACAATATTGAGCTGACTGAGCTTTGTGACATGATGCCTTATCTGGCTCGATGCACTGTGGTGATACAGGGATGGACACTGTGGCAACAATACTCAGTACCAACTGAACACTATTTAAACAGGACACGCACACCGTAACATCTCCACAAGCATGAACTGACATTCTGACATTGCCATCCAAACATTACAGTAAGGGAGGAAATTTTACTGTAAGTCACAGTAACCTTGTTAATGTTGCCTATCAACTCGTTATTCACTGGTTATTACTTTCTGGACCAGTCTCTGCCATCCTACAGATGCCTGGGTGGGATGAACCCTGGCAGATCAGCAGTTTGTGAAACACTAAGAAGCATGGTTTGACACCATGCTACATGCTACATGCTACATTCAAAGTCACTGAAGTCTCAGTTTGATGCCAGTCAGATCCTCAGTTTAAACTTCAGGCAGTCGTACTGACCATGTCTACTTGCCCAAATGCATTGTATGGTAGGCTGATCACATGTTTGTGTTGAGAGGCAATTGAACAGTGTACCTAATAAAGTGGCTGTAAGCGTGTGTCCTCAAGAAACGAACCTCATGTTCAATCGTGTCTGTTAACATGTGGCTTAGCACTTTCAGTGCTGCCAGTCCACTTCCATCACATAACCTGTGGTCTTCTGTTCCTGGTTAATAACCAATATGTTTGGTTAGTTGGTCAGCAGCTGCTGTTTTTGTGTGAAACTGGAAGTGTAACAGGACTTCTAGTCCTCGTATGCGTCAGCAAGGTGGTTTGCGACTATGTGCTAGATGGCGTCTTGGGACGCCTTTGCAGAATCTGCAACTTAGGTCATGTCAGCTGGGGTAGGCTCCTGTCTCTGTGGACCTGCTGCTTAGGCCTGTTAACAATAATCAGAGCCTCTGTCTACATTGGCCTTTTCTAGCCACTGGTAGCACTTCTTGATGTCAGCACGTCCTCGCCCAATGGTATCATGCAAGGGCTTGGTCTGACATCTTTATGCATCTTCAGCTGCTTAAGGCATTCTTGGAGCCACTCATCTGGTGAGGTGGTGATGGTTGGTGGGCTGGCACATCTCTGATGATGGCTCTGACACTCAGTAATCCTAATCCTCCCCCTCCTGTTGCTCATAGAGTCACAGTGTGCTGGATTTCAGGTGGAGACCTCCATGCTTTAAGAGGAGTATGCACCTTGACAACAGTGGCATCTATCTCCGTTTGTAGCATGGAGGAATATTGGTGTGACACTAAGAAAAAAATATTGTAATTCTATTTCGAGAAAAAAAAAAAGTAAAAATATTCAGATTACGGTTATTTCGAGACAAACTGCCACAGCTACAAAATGCCTTGTATAGACGAGTTAGTGAAACTAACTGATCAGCATACTTGTGATGCAACTGTTGGAAGCCTTGAATCTGTCCACGAACAACCATTTCATGCTGTATAAATCCATTCTTCCAAGTTTGTGTGGCCATAAGCAACTTTCTGCACCATCTTTTCAATGTCCTTGTACTTGACCCAAAAGAGAAATAACTTCATTCCTTGTTACTAAATGAGATTCTGAAGTACTACGTTATAAACTTATAGGGTACAGCAACTGCCGCAGTTTGTCTGGAAACAACCATAATCTCCACATTTTGACTTTTTTCTCAAAATACATTTGACTTAAATCTCAAAATTTCGACTTTTGCGACTTTTATCTCTGTTTTTTTGTAGATGATGTGCTTCTGTTGGTATCAGGTGGTGAACTCCATCCCACATCGGAGTGGTTAACAGCCAAGTATGAAGCAGAGGGAATGAGAAGTCTGAGGCCATCATCCTCAGCTACATAAGGGTGCAGGGTCCACTCCGGGTCAGGGACCAGTTACTGAGGAGTTTAAATATCCCAGGGTCTTGTTCATGAGTGAGGGGAGTGGGAGATCGACAGACTGATTCGTTCTGTGGCTGCAGTGATGCAGCACCTGACTAGTTCGATCAGTCAGTTGTGGTAAAAAAAAAAAAGCACCAAATATAAAAGTGAAGCTCTTGATTTACGGGTCAATCTACGTCTCCCCCCCCCGTCCACTAAACTCACAGGCCGAACAAGGAGAGCTGATCAGAAATGCAGCCAAGAGGCCCATGGTGACTCTGGACGAGCTGCAGAGATCTACAGCTCAGGTGGGGGAATCTGTCCATAGGACAACTATTAGTCGTGCACTGCACAAAGTTGTCCTTTATGGAGGAGTGGCAAGAAGAAAGCCATTGTTAACAGAAAACCAGAAGAAGTCCCGTTTGCAGTTTGCCACAAGCCATGTGGGGGACACAGCAAACATGTGGAAGAAGGTGCTCTGGTCAGATGAGACCAAAATGCAAAACGCTTTGTGTGGAAAACTAACACTGCACATCACTCTGAACACACCATCCCCACTGTCAGATATGGTGGTGGCAGCATCATGCTCTGGGGGGGCTTCTCTTCAGCAGGGACAGGGAAGCTGGTCAGAGTTGATGGGAAGATGGATGGAGCCAAATACAGGACAACCTTGGAAGAAAACCTCTTGGAGTCTGCAAAAGACTTGAGACTGGGGCGGAGCTTCACCTTCCAGCAGGACAACGACCCTAAACATAAAGCCAGGGCAACAATGGGATGGTTTAAAACAAAACATATCCATGTGTTAGAACGGCCCAGTCAAAGTCCAGATCTAAATCCAATCCAGAATCTGTGGCAAGATCTGAAAACTGCTGTTCACAAACGCTGTCCATCTAATCTGACTGAGCTGGAGCTGTTTCAAAGAAGAATGGGCAAAGATTTCAGTCTGTAGATGTGCAAAGCTGGTAGAGACAGACCCTAAAAGACTGGCAGCTGGAACTGCAGCAAAAGCTGGTTCTACAAAGTATTGACTCAGGGGCTGAATAATTACGCACACCCCACTTTGCAGTTATTTATTTGTAAAAAATGTTTGGAATCATGTATGATTTTTGTTCCACTTCTCACGTGTGCACCACTTTGTGTTGGTCTTTCACGTGGAATTCCAATAAAATGATTCATGTTTGTGGCTGTAATGTGACAAAATGTGGGAAAGTTCAAGGGGGCCGAATACTTTTGCATCCACTGTACAGGTTTTTAATGACACCTGTGACATTTGAAACCATAAAAATGGAAACCATGTAGCATGACCTACTTAGTTTGACATCCATCGAACATTCCGGTGTTGATGAAGTACGGGCATACAATCGTAGTTTTGACACCATCTTTCCCAGTTGCTAGCAGCTCAAGACCCACAGACTCTGCAAACCCTACTGCAGCAAATTTACTGGCACAGTAGTCTGCAGAATGAAGGTATAAGACAAAGCATTACAAAGAGATGTTCCTTAAATAAGGTTACTTCACCAATACCAGAAAGTGTATTTGTTTAGTTAAAATGATCACGCATGGGAGTATGCACTTTTACACTGATGGCTTAATAAATAATTCAGTCCTTAATAAAAACAATAAATAGATTAAAGAATGACATGCAAACAATGTCACAGGTTTGGTTAAACCAGTGGTAGTGTGACACTTGCACTACAGTTTTTGGTGATGACTGCTGGTCATATGCAAAGGATTACGTCATGTTCTCAAGCTCCACGTGTCAAACAGGGGATTCATCCAACACATTCAACTTTAGAATTACTGAGATGCATCACATGTTTAGGGAAGAAAACACACCTGCCAATCCATTGACTCCTATGAGTCCAGCAGAGCTGGCAATGCTGACAAGGTGCCCATGATTGTTGGCAATCATAGCAGGAAGGAAGGCCTTGTAGGTCTGAGGGGAGAAAGAAAAAGGGGGGAAAAGACCAAATCACCTGCTGTAACAGAAAAGGTCGTATTCATTCTTAAATTCTACTAAAGAATCAACTGGAGACGTTAATGCCAAATTAAATATCACAGTGTTGTCTAATCTGCTAGTAAAATCATGTGGAGACTTGTCCATGTCCTTTACTGACTGACCCAAAAGTGAGCCATGATGTTGACATCCATGGTCTTCTCAATCAGTGAGTCAGGAGCATCCATGAACTTCTTTCCTGTCACAATGCCGGCGTTGTTCACTAAAATGCTGACATCACCCACCTCTCGCTTCACCTACATGAAGGAACGAAGAAAAACCATCATGTATGAATAAATATCATTTTGTAAAAAAGATACTCCAAAGTAAAATGTACAACAGCTGTAGGATATGCATGAGGAAAAGAGATTCTATGATTTCCCAAACGATCTGTGTTGTCTTGAAATTGATCTGTGATTTAGACGAAGAGCTGTTGTTGTTCTCTCAGCTGCCTCAGTGATGCACAGACATAACTCAAACATACAGCGGTGTGAAAAAGTGTTGTCTCGTCAGTCCACAGAGTATTTTCTTAAAAGTCTTGGAGATCATCCAGATGTTTCCTGGCAAAACTGAGACGAGCATTTATGTTCCTTTCGCTCAGCAGTGGGTTTTGTCTTGGAACTGCACTGCAGGCCATTTTTGCCAAGTTTCTTTCTTATTGTGGAGTCAAGAACAGTTGCCTTAACTGAGGCTAGTGAGGCCTGCAGTTGTTGTTCTGGGGTCTTTGGTGATCTCGGATGACTCCTCTCAGGAAAAGCCGGCCGACCAAAATTACCCTAAGAGAACAGCGAAGGTCCACTACAGTTTCATGCTTTTGCCATCTGTGGATGATGGCTCTCACTGTGGTCCACTGGAGTCCCACAGCTTTAGAAATGGCTTCATTACCTTTTCCAGATCTCAATTAGCTTCTCATTTCTTCCTCAATGTCTTTGAATCGTGCCATGTCGTCTTGTTTTTGAGGATCTTTTTGGTTCTATTCAAAGTGATTTCTTGATTGAGAACAGGTGTGGCAGTAATCAGGCCTGGATGTGGCTAAATTGGCATTGAACTCAGCCTTAGAATGATGTGATACACCACAATGAATTTGTTATAACGGGGGGTTTGTATACCAGTATATCAGTTTAAATCAGATTTAAATCAGATCAGGGTATATCAGTTTTTCACATGGGGCCATGTAGGTGTGGATTTTTCTTCCCTCTTAAAAGCCTTCCTGTTTGTGTGTCATGTAACTAATATTTGATCATCTAATATTTGAATTTCTTTGATGAGCTCAAACATGCAAGTGTGACAAACATACAAAAAACCTGAAATCAGGACGGGGCCAACAGTTTTTCACAGCGCTGCAGGCTCAGTCTACATAACATTTAGATTCACTTTTTAGTTAAATTTTAAATAGCACCAATTCACAATTCAGTTGGAGATCAAACACACACTACATTATGTTACACTGACTAGAAAACATTTCATTATGGTACACAAAATAAAAGCCTCCTAATAAAGTGATAAAACAAAGATCCTGTCAGCTTCCATCTTAGAGAAAACCTCTGACAACAAACTGAATCAAGAGAGAGTATTCAAAGAGAGAAACATGTTTGGATGGTTACAGTTACACTTAAAACGGCCCGTGGTGGCTCCTCAGCCGGAGCGGGCGTGGCCAAGGTAAAGCGATCCCACGCCTGTGACGTGGACAATGACATCACGAGTAGTAACGCCGCTAAGCAACACTACCGGGGAGTAGTGTGAGTGTCCGTTCATTTACAGCTTCCTACACTGTATATTCATTCCGTTTACATTTTTCAGTGTTAAATCTTCCTGTGAAACGCTGATCTAGACCCAAACAAACAAGACAGAAGGCAGGAAGTGATGCTTGTACTCGATGGTTATTGTTGACTCATGTTTCTACACATGAAAGGACAAATCAATTATTTAACCGTACTGCTAATGCATACAGATGTGTATAAAAAGCAAAAGTCTTAATATAAAACATGAATTAGTTAATTGCTGAGTCAGAGAAAGGTGCATTTTAGTCTTTGGATTATTTTTATTATTGTTTTGGGGTTTTTTGCCCTAAAGAATTATACCTAAAATATGCGGAGCTTCACTTTAACGATGAGGGAAAAGCTGCTGTAGGAGCCACTGTGATTAACACGACTGCTGTCATTGCCACGTTGCACCAGCATTTCAAATAAATGAAAAGTCAACAATGCAAAGGACGGCATTACTCAAGCTGTCTGCAGCTAATTTTAATTTTAGTGTATCACTATGTGTGTGTGGCTGAGTGTGAGAGCGCGAGTTACTCATAAGTGCAAAAGCTCCATGTGCTGTTAAGTAGGAGAGAATTAACACATCATTAGCATTCAACGGGGTCTTAATGAGCAAACGTTTACGCAGCTCTGCTAACTCCTGCAGAAATTATGAACAACTTGTATGTCATAAATTTTTCATATGGTTTCTTATAATTGTGCAACCATAGCATCATCGTCACAAGCCAAAAAACTGAATTAAAGTGAATGGATCAGACGGTGTGATAACAAAGTAAGTAACATGTTGATCCAGTGGTTAGCACTGTTGCTGCACAGCAATTACGTCCTACAGTTAAAAGCACTGGCTTCCTGGGACTTCTCTGTGTAGCAGTCCAGGTACTCCAGCTTCACCCATCACAAATATATGGTTAGATTAGCTGCTGATTCTAAATTGTGACTATGACTCTTAATGGTCATTTCTCTCTGTTAGCCCTGCAACAAGTAGAAACCTGTTTAAGGTGCGCCCCATCTTTCACCCACTACAATAGGCTCCAGCCCCCCAATGAACCTGAATTAGACAATGAGGGAAACCACAGATTTCTCTGAAGACTTAAAATCATTTGAATACAAAAGTTAAAAGGTCTAAAACTACTTAGACTAATATAATGTATTTTTATTTTCAAGCCACTGGAAGTTTGGACGTTGTAATAAGCTCAGGTGGTTAACTTGTTGCACGTACACATCGATGTTAACTCAAGTCAAAAACGAAGTAGATGCCAGTTGCACTACAGGCACGTCGGTCTAATGTTCACCCAGAAACTTTACCTGGTCAGCCACTCTGTAAACTTCATTCTTGTCACTGCAGTCACAGATATAGTAGTGGACTCGACTGGCTCCATTACTTTTAGCCAGTCTAGCAGTTTCCTTCATCCCTTCCTGGTTGATATCCCACAGCACCAGCACGGTGCTATAAGATGCAAATTCCTGAGCCATGAGACGGCCGATTCCACTACCGGCTCCTGTAATGAGCACCACCTCACCAGCAATGTTCTTCTTTTTCTTTGGCACAAAGAAGTAGATGAAAGACTCCACATTGTACCAGATGGACAAAAGGAGTACTTTGATGGTTTCCAAGAAGAAATTCATAATGAATCTGGAAAGAAAGAAGAGAGACATGAATCAAAAACAAAACAAACGTTTCCTGGTATTATGAATAAGACTGGAAATCTTGATGAAATGATTTTCCTCCAATTTTTTTATACAAGTAGCTTCAGTCAGATTACAGAAACCTTTGCGTTATTCCTATGACTCTTTTTAGTTTTGTCTTTAATGAATTTAAAAGAACTTCAAAGCAAATTGTTTTGGAGCATTATAGAATTTTGTGAAAAATGAATTCAGGAATAATCATAATCAAAAGGTGCGCCTCAAGGCTCTGTATTAGGACCAACACCATTTCAATAATAATTTAGGAAAAAGGCTGTACCGTGACAAAACGTGGAACAAGGGATGTGCTGTTAATGCTTTCTGAATGCACCGTGTATCAGCA